TTGCCCATATTTTTCCTGTTAACATTGTAGGCCATGGAAATTGTTTCCGACAAATTAGCCATAAATTTCTCCAAACCCAAAGTCACCAGAGTTGTCGAATTGTCGTTTCAGAAAAGCAAGTTGTACACAGCACTAAAGAGCAATTGACCATCATGTCTAAGGAAAAGAAGGATTTGATCAACACTATAAGCCAGATGGAGGTGAAAGAGAAGGCACGTTCACTTTGAAGATTCGACTAGACAAAACGAGAGACGAAAACGAACGGCTAAGGTCCATATTAAAACAAACGGGTGAAGTCGAATACACCATGTTATAGACTATAGAGTATAGACAATACCTAAGGGGTTAAAATTGAACGTCTAAATTATATATATATTTTTAAACGTTTGTACTGTTAAAGCATAAAATTATAATACATTTTTTAAACTAAGTTAACAGCAATTGTAACGTAATTATTACTTACTTTTGCTCAGAGGGTATATTATATAATCACAATCGTCGTTTACCGACAAACTAATTTGAGACGTATTCATAATATTGAGTGATGACTAAACTTAAGGTAACTTAATGTAGGTAGTTACCTACTTTATTAACACTGTGCGCATTATGATTGACAAAACGAATTTCATGGCATTTATAACCCAACGACATCAATTATAAATTTATCCGACATTTTACCCACGTCATAGTAAGTTATTTACATAAGTGAATTTAGTAAGTGTTTAATTATCTTCTTGATGTTCTCGACCGATGAGTAGATTAATGAAAATTTACACATTTTTTTTTTATAAGGTAGTATACTCGTTTCTGTAAAATTGTTTATCTAATATATCTAATCTCAGTATAAGTATACTCAAGGAACAAAACTTTTCTATATATATTCTAAAAATACAATAGGTATAAATATATTGAAGTACAAAAAAACGTTATATGTACTTGACTTAAGATTATAAATATAAAAGACAAATTTACAAAAATTATGTAAGATACCAAAAGATTATATGACACGTTTGTAGGCCGTTAATTCATGTTAATATTTAACATCGGGTGCGTGTTCGTCACGCGCGTTTGGAGTGAAATTTAACAAAGAAACTAAACAACAATTGAAATTAAGAAATATTTGTCAATGTATTTTTAGATGAAAATATATCTTTATTATTAAGGAAGCTAATATCAACATTTTAGGGGTTATAACCCTTTTGCTTTCTAATAAATATAACAACAGTAAAAAATGTATACAACAACAATGGGTAATTCCATGCCAAATTACCTGATATGTGTGCGAATGGATTTTCTAAATACCCCAAACATATATATCCTATGCAGCTAGTTCCATATAGTTGATAAAATGAAGCAAAAAAAAAGTAAACAATTGTTTCACTCACCAATACTTCAAGTGTTCTTTTTCATAGTATACTTAAACAATTTTCTTTTTCAATTTTTTAAGTAGCTTACTCTTGAAAAGCCAATTCAAAATTCAATAAATTTCATTAAATTCGTATACTAACTTGAGGTCAGTAAAAAAAAATTTTTCTGAATCAACAAACTACTCTTGATTCATAATTTTTTTCTTTATAATGTTTAAGTAACTTTTAGTAAATTTAGCATTTTACTGAAAAGTGCTATATTGAAGAGCCTATAACTTCTGAAATTCGTTCAGCACTTACTTATATGCATATAGAACATCTGGGAAAAGTTTGGCATCGGAGAAATAGTTTTACTAGGAGCTGCAAGAACTTGAATAAAAATATGTTATGCGTAGTTCTAAAATACGAAATTTGAAAAATTCAAGGTCTTACAGCTCCTAGTAAAAATAAGTCTCCATTACTAAACGTTTACCAGTTGTTCTATATACATATAAGTAAGTGCTGTACAAATTTCAAAAATGTTGGTTTAAGCCCTAAGAAGTTACAAGGTTTACAAAGTATATAAGGTGTTTTGACAAAAATTTTACGGAATATAGCATCGCCTAAGTAAACATTTATTTTTCTTCACTTTTTAGATATTATGGAACTATCTACATAGGGTATATAAGTTTGAGACATATAGAATCGCACAATCATTTTTATCAAACAAATAGTTGTGTGATGATAATATAAAAAAATATCAATAGAAAAAAAATATTTAAATAAGCCCTTAACCACGAAAATAATACTCTATAGCGAATACGTATTGCGAAAGCAAGTTACCATCATTTGAGAAAGTTAAATTTTTTTAATTTTTTGGTGGGGTTTTCTATAACCATAAACCATATGGGAATGATGCATGATTTGTTGTTTAAATTCTGTGTAGTCGGATACATTTTTATAAGTGTTATTTATAAATAAAAACTAAGATACTAGATTGAAATGTAGGTACTAGATAAAATAACAGAATAATACAGATAACAAATATATTTTGATATAAGAATAAGTAAAAATAGTTTGTATATGATAATAATATTATGAAAATAAGACACTTTACATTTTAGTATTTAAAAATTATAATATACTAAAATAATAGGCCGAATTAATAGTTCAGAATTTGATTCATTCAAGTTAATCTTGTGATGAAATATATATCGCATGTAATTGTGCAATAATTATCAAAGAGTTAAAACACGGAAATATTTAAAGTGAAGATGACGATATTTTAAATAAGTGTTGGTATAGTAAGATATGTGTATTGTGCGTAGAGGAGGCAATTTACATTACAAAACTTTGTTTGATCACCCCTTAAGCGTTCCATAACAAAATTGTTCATTGGCAATAATAATTTAGATTATGGGTATACACCATATAGATATACTGTAGACTTTGCTAACTGATAATAAAACACTGTATGATTCAAAACAACAAATCATAACTAATGTAGTCAATAGACAACAAATTATAATGAGTAAATAATTTAAATACTTATACGTTATTAAACTTTACGCTTAATTGTTCTCTTTAATTGGCATCACTAGTTCAAATTTATTGAAAAAAAGTTTGTCATTTATAGAACGCCATACAGCCTACTTAATAATACAGACATTTTTTTTTTTTGATAAAATTGTATATAGGTAAAACACAAATGTTGATAGTTATATAAATAAACTTACCAAAGATAAATCCATACTGTCATTTAACCATTTCAACTCTTACACCAAAGCTCTAACTTATGTTCAAAACCCTGTCCCTGGAGATGAATTTTTGAGAAATTGAGTAATGATTTAAATATTTTTTTTTTAAATTGAGCAGTTTTAGCATAAACGACAAACGTACATCCACACAAAATTAAAGATTGAGACTTTATTTAAATTGTTATATGTTCGATTTTGTATTAGAGTATTGTAATCAGAATTATAGGAAACGGAAATTTACAACGTAAAATACTTTTCCCTACATTTTTTATATCACAAATTACCCACGTCAAAATTTAAATAAAGCCTTGATTTTTAATTTTATAATTTCCAGCATATTACATATTTACATATTTTAGTTTTAGTATATTGTCATATTTTTGCAAAAAAATGTAGTGTGCAATTAAAAATTGTAATTTTAAGAAATTAACAAGGTCGAATAAGTTATCTGGAATACTGAAAATAATTAACGATTACAAAAATTCTTTTAATTAACATAAGATGCATTTTACTTTTTAGTATACTTATTACGAGACTAATGAGACTTTAAACTTGTTTCCAACAAGTTTTATGTTAATACCTAATTATGCTATTCCAGTTTCTACTGTAAATCTATAACCATTATAGAACTTTAATTTAAATAGTTATACTTTATTATAAAATTTGTCATTTAAATTTAAAAAACAAGTCCTAACTATACTTTTTTAATTTACTTAAACGATAACTAAAGTCATAATTTGATGTTAGTATTACCCCTTCTAAATTTGTATTTATTAAATTGTACGTTTAATGAGTTGAAATACAAAAGTGACTCATGAAACAAATTGCATTGGTACCGGGCTTGGAAAAAAATTTTAGGTTTAATTAGGTTTTTAAATGGTTAATTAAATTTAAACTTATCAGCTCACCAACTATGGGCGGAATAAAACATGTGTTTTTTGTAACGCAATTATCAAATAATTACTAAAATACATTGGCGAATAAATTAAACGTGTCGATAAATATTTATATGGTCTGAGAAAAATTGATAACAAATTCATAAAGACAAAAAACAATTACTGACAAGTCACTTTAATAAAAATAATTAAAATTGCATGCCAAACATTGTCCCAATATATAATAATAATTTGTTTTTGTACATTATTTCACACTTTTTTTTTAATAAAAGAAAAAATGACTTCCTAGTAAGAATCACCCAATATGTTACATATTTTACTTAGGTAATTTAACAAATGATTTGCTATGAGCAATTAAAATACATTTTTTGGTCGTTTCAAATAAATCTACCCTAAAAAAACTAACTAAAATTATTATTTTTTATTTTTCATACCTAGTTAAACAGTATAGTTCAATTATTTGAATTTTGTGTTCTAGTTACAGTCAGAGTAGTTACCTATTTAGATTTTTAAACAATAATAGTCTTTCATTTATCATTTAAACATTTATAACAATTTTCAATAACCGTGTATTTATTGGCTGTAATGTACCTACTTACTTGTATTTTCATAGAACTAGCAACTATTAATTATCAATAATAAAACTAAACTAAAAAGCGAAATGGGAGATTATTTAAATGCGGTTCATCCTATAATTTTAAAAGTTACTTTTAATTTTATAATATTTTTTTGTTAAAATTACAATTTCAGGAGATTTGTAGGTATGCTTAGCATTTTTAGTTTAGAAATTAAAATTTCCAAAATTGTTTGCGTCCTACAATATTATTATAGAATAGGAGGAGGTTTAATACAATTGTTAGTGCTTAAGAACACTTAAGCACTTACATTAGCACTTGACACTTACATTTTTTTTTTAAACTGCGTGCCTCGATGTTAGCGTTATCAAAAATTAACAAAATTATGATATGTATTTTAATATAGTTAATACAGATAGTAGTTACCTGATGGTGATTTTTCATGGGGTGGATTGAAGTGGTGGTCATTTTTTTTTAATTCCGACGACGGCACTTCGAAGACGACACTGGAGCCTTTAAGTAGTTCGTCTGGTGAAGTTGCCAACAATTGATCAGGCGATGTCGACATGGCTTTTGTCAACCAGATGTTTTCCTGAAATTCAAATATTTTGATAGTTTACATTTCGAGTATAACTAACACATGCTAAATGCAAAATGTACTTGATTATTATTCATATAATCAAGAAATAATTATAGTATTAAAGCACCATGAATATATTAGATAATGTTCACGTTATTTTTGAAACAGTAGTTTTAAAATTGGCTTACTGAAATTACATAGTCTCTGGACGTTTATTTTTTTTTTTTTGGACTATGCACATACAAATACATATATACGCTTAAGCTTAAAAACCATATAAACGATTAAGTGTGTATTTTGTGAACGTTGTAAAAAAAAAATTTCTATATCGCATATCAAATGGTTGTAAAGTGGTTTTTGTTTTTAATACAAACTGCTTTTAAATTTAGCTCTAAAATTTCAACCGGTCATAAAATTAGTTTAGGAAAAATGTCAATTACGGTTAATTTTTACACATAGTTCAACTTCAACGACAAAATGGACATGTTATTAAATCGATTAATATGTATAGGTACATTTTTTTTAAAAAATAACACTCGTGGCGGGTGAGTCTATATAGTAGGCACGCGTACTTAATTACCTTAAAGGTATAATTATAAAATATTTTATTTCGAGTGGTTAAGTCGTGTACTCAAAAACAATAATTGTTTTACTACTGTTATTAATTAAGACACTTCAATCAAGATTAACAGAAAGTAATTAAGGGCAGTGCGTTAAACCAAACTAACCAGCGTTTTGCATATTATTAAATTAAGAAAGAAAAAAACACTGCTGATGGTTGTTTTTCAATTGACGTAAGAACAATATGCGTGTAATTCGTTTTTATTACCTATACTAGTATTTCTAAACTATAACTTGTCAGTTGTCTATTTCCGTAAGCCGTATTTTGCGTTTTTCCTACGCGATATTGATAAATAATTATTTGAAAATATGAACAAAATAATAACTCTCAAAAGGAAAAATACATAATTTTTTTTGTCAACATGGATCCATTGATCATCGCCTACGTTTCAAAGAAAAGAATCTTAAGTAGGGTACACGTTTACTAGAGGTCACCGCGTCGTTCAATCCACAAGGAAGTCCGTTTATACACTATAGTAAATACTAAATAGGTAACATAATTGAAATTATTGAACTTCAGCCAACCGCGTGGGCTCGTACACAACGAAAAAGGCGTCCAAAAAACAAAAGTGAAGCATATTTTTCTAAAATTATAATGTAAACATTTTATGCGATTACCAATTCAAATTTCAATAGGTAAACATTATTTATTTTTTCAAGGAACTACATTATAATTACCTACTATTGAATAAAAATTGAGTTAGTAAAAAACTTAATATTATTATTCATTATGTAAAATGTAAACGAAAACAACACAAAAGCCAACAAAAACCACCATTAACGTTTAAGGTTGGCATTAAAATTACAAGCTTTAAATTCTAAACTGTCAAACGAACAGATAAAAGTTGAAATATTGCATGATATTACATGTTTGTAAAACAGTAATAAAACCGTAGGACCTACGAAAGAATTCATAAATATTGCCAGTACAATGGAGATGTAATGTTTTGTCCTACTATAAGATTTTTTATGGCATATTTTTGTCTGGATTTAGAGCACCGAAATTTTGTTTTCCTAAATTTTGCACATATTATAATAAAAGATTTTCCACATCAAACCATCGTAATGTTCAATAAAATATAAAATGCTATAAAAAAAAATTATAGTCAGACTGTATTAAAGCAGAATTCAGAACATTAAGTGTAAAAAAAAATAATGAAACATTTTTATTATGCAAAGTATAATACTATTTTGTGTTTTACAGGGGAAAAACTATTTAAAACACAGCATAGACCATTGAACAAGCGACATTCGCTAAAATAATTTAATATACTAGACTTTCATGTGTACCCATACATAATATTAAGGCATAATGCAAATAAAGGATACTATTAAATATTAGTACAGTCCAGGCATGAGTTCAAATTTTTATCATTTTGTACAATAATCGTCGTTGAATTAAATCATGTAAACACTAATTTTGTAAATGTATTTCACGTTCACTGCATAATTTAGTTAATTGATGATTTATTGTTTTATTATAAGTGTAAATGGTTATGGATGACTAACATTAATCGTTTTACTTTAATGGTGTGCTTAACAATTACCTATACAAATCAGAGCCAGTTGTAGTTTTTTCTAAATATAAGTATTTTTGAGTTCTGTTAAATATTCTACAATCGGACTGAATGTACAAAAAAAAACAGTTAAAAATATGTATATTTTCGTTGACATTTCTAAGCAGTTTTGTGCCAACGACAATCCCAGTGGAAGAAAAAGTAAAAAAGTTGTATTTATTTATAGTTTCCATGACTAGGTACATTGAAAACGAATAAAATATGTGGTTACAAAAAATTACAGATAGTTACAATTTATTTGAACAAAACAATTATTTAAAATAAAGCTGTAAACATTATTAACGATCCGGAAGAGAACGATAATGGTAATTTATTAAACGATAAGAGCAAGCCGTCATAACAGAGTTCCATGGAGCCAATAACCTTAACCTAGCTCAAACGAATAACGTCAACAAACAGCATAGTCGTAAATAGAAAAATCGTTAGTTAGATGTTCAACAAAAGTGTTTACAATAATATTGTATACAGCAGACAAAAAAACAACACATTAAAAATATTATTTAAGCTACGGCTAATTAATTATACAATGGAGCAACTATAATCTCAATATTTTTAATTACTAATGTATAGCATAAGAGAATGCGAATATATACTAAACATATATATATATATATATATTACTGGTCACTGGTTAAATTAGTACAACATAAATATAACAAGCACTTAAAATTGTATAATGTGATGATACAAATCATTTTTGTTTTACAGTCTCGAACGTAGAAAAACAACAAACATCTACTTATAATTTATGTATAATATTATATAGCACTTTTGAAGAGGTCACAATCGGAATGATATTTCAAGGGGATTGAAAGCCTTCTGTTTTTTTTTTACGTTTTAGATCAAAAAGCCTGACAGCATTTCTACTACTCCTAAGTAGTGCGATTTAATTTCTGTAAAAATATACAAGATCTTTGGTTACTTTACTAGGTTATGTAGAAAACGGGTTATTGACTTTTTGTTTTTTTAATATAAAAATATTGTTTTTTTGTATTAAAACATTGTTTTTTTTATTAAAACATTTTCAAATTTATTTTTTTTAATTATAAGAACCCATTAAAATCGGTTGTTTCCAAAATGTCCTAGTAACTCGAATTTTGTCAGGCTGTTAGATCTAAAATACCACTAAAATTTTGTTTACTCGAACATATTTACTAAAATAAGGTAAAAATAATACTTTGATTCTTATACAAATAATTTTGTAAATAAATTGGCATGGTCGAAATTTATAAAAAATCCCTTTTTTCTTAAATATTGCTTAAATAAAACTCCTTAAAACCCGCCCGCTTTCAATCTCCTCGATATAAAAAAACAATCAGCACAGTAAGGTTGGAGAGGTCACAGATCTTCAGGAATTATAGTTGAAAGAAGTAACTCAAATAAACGAATCGACTTTTTTTCAGACCACAAATCCCAAAACTACAATTAGAAAAGTGAATTAGAGAAAAAAAAATATACATCACCTCATCTAGAAGAATGGGTTTTTCATCTTTTTTTAGTATTTCATCGAATATCTATTGTATTATATCTAATCAATATACTATAGAACTTCAGACGTAATTTGGTTATTTAAGAAAAATTAATATGTTTTCTCGTTATTTTAAGAGGATTTTTTTTTTATTATTTGCTCAATAAAGTGCCTTCCAGGTAAGATTTCTGGTGTACACACTTAGTATATACTTGATAGAGAAAGAAGTCGGTCCAGCGGTGTAAAATATTTCATTGAAAAAGAACACATCATTGTAAAAACAATACCTTGTCCGCATCATAGTTTAAACGACCTTCACGGTATTGATTATAGTTTATACGTATATTAGTAATCAATCGTTAAATATCCACTATCCCGAACAATTACATAGTCTCAATATCAAACGGAACTAAATACTTTACCGTGAAAATCGAATACTATTTCAAATGAAAAAAATTATGTAGCTAATGCTATGTAACTAACCCTACGCTATTTGACTGTATTTTGCTAACAATGATAGGGCGGTGCTCAAGTAATATTATTTTTATAAAACGCTCTCTCTTATACAACTTAAGGTATAGAACACATACAATATTGGGTAATGAGAATACAAATAGAGTTCAAAACTTGGGGTAGTAAACACAGTACTTCTCCCCCTCCTCTCAAATTGCGCTTATAATCACAATGCAAAAGTCATACATGCACTAGTTACTAGTAGGTAATGAAATATTATAAATGTACAACTATAAATTTCCAAATAACATTATTCAGTTAAGTTACAAATCATATATGAAATTGTTTTTCATATAAACATTTTTTCGGATAAACATACCAACACAGTTATTTTTTCAATCGAATAATGCATAATTTTGAATAATATAAACTACTTTATAACTTAGTCAGTCAACGTTAATAATTTAATTATTCCGAATATTTATCTGAAATTTTAATCTCAATTCTATGAACACTTAACATGGCTAATTCAATGAGTTTGTGTTTTATACTTAAATTCCTGTTAGTACTATATGAGGACCACATAAAGCTACTGGTTTTTTGTTTGCGTTTCGCCAATAAGGTAATGAGAGAAGTGAGGGGAAAATAATACACCGAGAACCTCCCCCTTGTACGACTCTGAATTTCATTATTTAAAGAAAATGTAATCTTCTTTTTCAGTAGACGCAGTACAATATAAACAAAAACTAGTCTCATTGGTTTCGACTCCTGACAATAATTAAAAACATAGTTTTTTTTTTATACATTATATTAATTATTTAGGTATAATATCACAGTTTTCTAAGAGTCATCGGCACGATCGAACGGTGTTAACGAACGCTTAATTATCTCAA